AATAAATAACCATAACCACGGTACCAAACAGAATAGAATACAGGTTATAGAAGTGACAGTCAGAACAGAGATACGGATTCAATAGGTAACTCGTACGGATTATGGAGGTGGTTCTCACAATAGTGTAACACTTATCTCTGCACAACACTTTGTTCCGCACAGAACAAAGGTCAATAGATTCATGACAACAGAAAGCCACAAAGTGACCAAACAGAAATCGATGGTTATTTAAGTCCCCCAAGGCGTGGGACTCCCGTGGTGGTACTTACAAAATATAATTGCTTATAAGGCTATAATCAAATATTCTTTAAAATATAAACAATCACATCTATGGGTTTCATTTTAACAAATAGAATTCAGAAATTAATCCACGTAACTGAAATATTTATAAAACATAACTCGTATTAATATAATAAATTAAATACAACTTACATAAAATAAATTATGGTAAGTCAAAATATACATAAAATATATTATAGTGACTCAAAATATAATATAACTCACCTTAACTTTAATACCTTAATCTTTTTTTCCACTATAAAAAACCCTTCCAGTTTCCATTATTTTTTTATTCCTTTTCTTCCTTCATTTCCCTTCTCATTCCTCTATTTTTTTCATTTTCCTTTTCCTTCATTTCTTTCTTTCTTTCTTTCTTTTGCCGAGTTGATCAACTCCCCATTCATAGAGAGGTAAAGGCTTCATTTGGCCAACACGTGGTCAGACGCGAATCTTCCGACAGATTCGATTAAATTTATATTTATCTTTAATAAATATTAAAGATAATTACACTTTGGATCTAATATTTTAATATAATTATATAAATAAATTAATTTCTAATTAAATTATATTTTATTATATATTAACAGAAAATTAATTATTTATTTTACTGCCATACCTATTATTATTATTATCAATATTATTATTTATTTATTATTTTTTTTATATTTATTTATTTACTATATTTAACTTTAATTTAGCCCAACTATATTATAATTTTATATTTGATAATCCAATGCCAAATTAGATTTATATATTCATTTATTATTATTTATTTATACTTTGACCCCTAAATTTTTTTATTAATTATATTATTTTACAAAGTTACACATAATAATACAAAATAAATCGTATATTTTCCTAACTATGATTAAATAATATCAGTATAAATTTTACAGAATAATTAAAAATTTGAATTGTTACACATTATGCATCTATAAAAAATGCGACGGTTCCGTTTCGAGTTGATTGAAATATTCGCTGAGCACCCCTAGTAGCGACATGTAGTGGTGGATAAAAGTATATTTTAAAAAGTAAATTAAAAATTAATTTTTAAAATTTTTTCAATTCAAAAAAATATAAAAAAATAAAGCGATAGTATAATTTAAAAAATCAAAAATATTAACTTTTAATTCAATTGTCAAAAAAAGAAGTCAGAGTTAGGAATAAAAAATAATTCAATTGTCAAAAATAAAGTCAGAGTTAGGAATGCTAGGGTGGTTGGCATCATAGTAGGGTTATGTGTATTGAAAAATGCAATGATTTGTTTAAGGCATAAAAATGAATAAAGATAACAAATTTTCATGCTCATTCTCTATGCTCTTTGTAATGTTTTTCATAAAAAATTTAAAAATCAATTAAAATAATTAGAGGGTTTTTGAAATGATCTAAGGTATTATTTGGCATAAACTAAATAATTATTTAGATAAGTATATTTATTTGAATCACATCACTACTTTATTTTTATACACATATTTTTTATAAAAAATCAAAAAATATACTTATTTAGATTATCTTAAATAACTTATAAATAAATATATATTTTTTTTACTCTTTACGAAAATATGTGTAAAAAAAATAAGAAAGTAATATGACCTAAAAAAATATAATATAAGACATACTAAGACCCCGGTTGACAAGTATTTATTTCAACTTAAAAGTCAAAAAATTATTAAAAAAATTAAAAAGTTTATAATTTTATCCTACATACCTATCCCATATTGCAATCACGTCATTTGTGCCCTTAGCAGAGGTGAAATTACCTTTTTACCCCTCATTTTCATTTTTTTAATTATATATTTCTGTCCGGACCGGTCTTTATGTCAAAACGCACACCACTCTCACACACACACTCTCTCTTTCTCACTCACACACACACTTTTTTTTCTCTCTTTCTCACATTTCAAATTATTATTTTTTAAATATAAAAATTAATTTAATAAAATAAACACACAAATTATTATGTTTTCAAATGATTTTTGAAAACACATAAATTTAAATATAATTTTTGTGTGTTTATTTCATCAAATTAATTTTTAGATTTAAAAAATAATAATTTAAAATTTTAACTTACCATAATAATTACTTTTTATTTATTTTAGTTTTTTATTAAATATATTTAATATTAGTCTCATTTTAATAACGATATATTTTCAATGATATTAATTTTATAAAATTAAAATATTGTATTAAAAATTATATATATATATATATTATGAAAATAAAATAAAAAACTAAAATAAAAAAGATTAAAATAGTTTTTATCTTTTTTTATTAGAAAATAAGAGAGAGTGAGGTCAAGTGAATAAAAAGAGGCTTGGTCAAGTGACTTGTACCGTTTCTGCATTACTTGTCAGCAAAGTCACTCACAGCTTGCACAACAAATTTTGGAAGGGCAAAATTGTCATTTTACTCATGCTCATTTTATTTATATTATTTCTTTTTATATTTTTGTGTAAAAAGTCAAAAAATTGTTCGGACACATACTAGGTTCTGTTTGATAAGCCTCTCAAATTATAGTTCCAGCCATTGATTTGAATGTGGTGTTTGTTTTGAGCTTGCAAATCATAATTCTACATCCATTTTTCAAAACTCAATTCAAAACATAATTATTACTTTTCGAAACTCATAACCAAACACATAATTTAAAAAACTTTTCAAAACTCAATTCAAATCAATATTTTAATTTTTTAAATATTTTAATTTTGTTAAGATTTTAAATATTTTAATATTTAAATATGTTACGATTTTTTTAATTTTTATTTTTTTGAATATTTTTAAATATTTTAATTTTTAAATTTTTAAAATATTTTATAAAAATAAATTCAAACTCTATTTTATAAAAATATTTTTAAATATTTTAATTTTTTTGTTATGTATTTAATTACGATTTGAGTGTAGAGTTGTGAAAGTAGTATGAAGTTTCGAGTTATGTGTTTGGTTATGAGTTTTAAAAATAATTTATTAATTGAGTTTTGTTTTATATGTTTGGTTACGATTTAAGTGTAGAGTTGTTTTTAAATTTAAAATATTAAAATTTTAAATTATTTAAATTTTTTGAATATTTAAATTTTACGATTTAAATTTTTTGAATATTTATTTTAGGGCAAATTACAAACACCCCTTCGAGGTTTGGTGAAAATACAGATTCTTCCCTGAGGATTGAGAAATTACATCCCGCCCCCTGAGGTTTATGTTTTCATAACAAATTGTCCCCAGAGATTTTTATGTTCATACAGATTCCCCCTAATTTTCCCTAATTTGCTATGATTTTGACCCTCAAGGGGTAATTTGTAATTTCTCAAATCTCAGGGGGAATCTGTATTTTTATCAAACCTCGTGGGGGTGTTTGTAATTTGCCCTTTATTTTAATTTTTTACCTATTAAATTTTTTAGATTATTTAAATATTTATGATTTAAATTTTTTGAATATTTATTTTGAAAAAAAAATTATTTCCTTTGTAGTATTTTCAATTAAAATTTTGATTAATGTTATTTTCTGTTAATAATAATTTTTTTTAATTGAATTTTAAAAAGAGTTTGGTTATTAGTGTTGATTAGAATTTTCAATAGTGTGAAATTAGTGTGTTTTGTTATGAGTTGTAACAATTTGAATTAGGGCAAATTACAAACACCCCCTCGAGGTTTGATAAAAATACAGATTCCTCCATGAGGTTTGAGAAATTACAAATTGCCCATTGAGGGTCAAATTTTCATAACAAATTAGGGGAAATTAGGGAGAAATCTGTATGAAAATAAAAACTTCAGGGGACAATTTGTTATGAAAATATAAACCTCAACGGGCGAGATGTAATTTCTCAAATCTCAGAAGAGAATCTATATTTTTACCAAACCTCGAGGTGGTGTTTTTAATTTGCCCTTTGAAATAAGTTTTGAAAACTCTTTCCAAAACTCATAACCAAACAAATTTTCTTACTTCACATGTCAAATTAAATTTTTAAAACTCAATTCAACACTCTATTAAAAAATCATAACCAAACAAATTTTTTACACTCAAATCATAATTTCATAACTCACAAACTCGAAATATAACTCATACTCTTAAATTATATTTACAAAATTTTATCAAATGGAACTCTAATTTTTTTACATTATATTTTAATTAAAAAATTAAAAAATTACTAAAAAAAATTCTATAAATTCTATTTACAAACGAGACTTAAATAATGTCTTAATTCTTAAACCAAAAAAAAGAAAAAGAAAAAAAAGTTACTAGAATTTGTTTGGGATGAACTAAAAACAAACCTTTTACAAAGAGGCCCCAAATCTATTCGCCTGCATCGCGGGTGCATGAGAGTTTTCCTGCACCACCTCGAGGTTTCGTGTTATAACTTACGTTCATGCCTCTTCTGCACATTTCATTTTTATGGCGGGTATCCCAAGCGCCAAATAGAAACCCAAAAAAAAAAAAAATTATAATTAGAGATAAATGTTAATAAGTGAATTTATTATTTAATAAATTTTATAAAAATATTTATTATAAAAAATATTATCAATTATAAATTTTAATAATAATTTATAAAATTTATGTTAAAAGAAATTATTAATTATTAATTTTTAGTGATATATATAAAAAATTATTAAAAAAATTAATTTTAATAATAATTTTATAAAAATTTATTTTTAATAGAATTTAATAAAAATTAACTAAAACTATTAGACCTAATTGGTAGTTTAACTAAAACGTATAAATACATAGGGCATAGGGCTTTGAGGTAGAGAATAGAAGATTGTAGCAAGCAAAGCAAAGACCAAATTAAAGGAAGAAAATGGACGACGATGATAATGATCGTCTATTCCAGAGAGAGAGGTACCAAATGGAGCAAATTCGTGAGCTCGATTCCGAGGAATTGCAGATTGAAGAAGTCGATGACCTTGCCGACTCATCCGATGCCGATGATACCAAGTAAAATCATTCCTCATCATTCATTAATTGTTCATTTCATACACAATCAATTTGATTGTCGCTCGTTTATTTTTTTTGAAATTTAGGGTTTCATAATCGCACTCGATTGAGAATCAACTTTGAGTTTCTTCACATTTCTTTAACAGTGTAAGACATGTTGAAGTTAACCAACAATTCACACGCATAATTCAAAGGAAAAAAGCAAGAAACACCCATAATTTATATGGCTTTGGCACAAACTTGGTTACCTATTGTAGAGATTTTACAGGTATGAACAATCTTAAACATTCAAAATCTAGCTCCGGTACCCGAATCCTAAAGTTATCCCTACACTCACTTCTCTGCTCAAAGGTTGTGACTAGATTTATAGATTTGAATTTAAGGATTAGGCACTAATCACTAAAGAGGATAGTTCAAAGTTAGATTTAATATTTTCAACTATCATTTACTTTTGTAAAATTTCACCTCAAAATCACTTCATTTAAAATCCATCAATCCAAATGGAGCCTAAAAGCATTGTCAATTTAGCTAACCCTAGAATTACTGCAAGTCTGTTTTTTATTTTATATTGAGTTATTTACTTTTTTCGTTGGGTAAAGCTAAGAACTTTCTTTGTCCGCTTTGGTTAAGCAACTAAATTTTAGCCACTGTTAGAAATGAAATTATTTGCTAATGCTGAGCAGTCAATCAATTCTTTGGCTTATTTATGTTTCTAAATGTTAAAATGTTGTCTTTGTTGGATGTCATAGCTTTTTGTCAAATATTAGCATTTGATATGTTGGACTGTTTTTTTTTTTGGGATGTGTGTGTATTTTATGGATAATTAGTATTTGGAATGTTAGATGCATCATGTTCTTTAAAATTATTTTGTTTTGTTGATGTTATTTATTTTATAAAGATATTTTTAACATTCGCCTTGCTTTGCTGAAATCATCACCTCACTTTGTTGTCTTGTGCAAGGCCGCCTCGGTGCCCTTTTCGTTTTAAAAACACTTTCTATAGTTGTGAACCACCTAATTTAACCATGTTACTGAAAATTTGGTCGCTCTTATCCCAAAAAAATCTGTTAATAGTTTGGGCGTTGAGTTGACTGACGGAAAAAAAAAAGAAGAGAAATTGAAATCCCAAATATTAATATTAGTATCTTATATGTTGTTTGGTGTTTCAAAGAATATAAATTTCTCACAAAGCTAAAATAATTGTTCTAGGCCTGGTGAGGTTTTATTTTATCATTTTCAAACAAGTTGTGATTCTTTTCGTGGATTTGGTTGTGACTGATCATGCCATTGTGCACATCATGTTGTGGATTAAAGTAACCGTGGCCATGGTGGGGCTTCAGCATCTGGTGATTTTACTTTTGACACCGGTTTGGCTTCCTTACATACATACCTCGGTGGTAAGCGTAATGTGCTGGCTTTTGCTTGTTTTCCATCTCTCTGCCAATCTGAGCTATTGGAGGTTTTATATTTTAGTTTTCATGTATCAGAGGTTGAGGAGACCCATCATAGGATGGCTTTCTTGGACGGTGGTGCCATATCAAATCTGCCACTATTCTATCTTGAAGGTATATATTTAGACTACGTTATGTAAATTTGAATGGTTTCCTTATATTTCACATGGCATATAGGTGAAAATCTGTAGTCGCGGCTACTAAAGAAAGTTGGGGTCCATCATTGCATTTGATGAATATTCTGTCAGTTTTAAGTTTCTTAAATACACTCTTTTAATTCTTAAACACCACTGCAAAGTTAAATGCCTAGAAAGAGATTACAAATCATTTTTTAAATGACTTCAATTTTCTTCACAATCCAAGTGTTAGAGCAAGCAGGGAGTACCCTTTTCCCTTTGCATATTTCAAGATTTTATGTGAATTTTGAGTTGTGGTGGTTCCTAATTATAGATTTCTTTTTTAATTTGGTTCTTCAAAACCAGAGGTTTGTGACTCTTGTATGGGCCTATGAGTTCATGAATTAAAGATTTAGCTTAACCAAGTAGCATGAAATGCCATAGAGCTGAGGGACAGTGATTCCCAGGTCTTGGTGTAGCTTATTGACCTAGTATCATATGCGTATGGCTTAGGAACAATTTAAGTAGCTTCTTTTGTCTCAGTCTTATCTTCATTACTTTAATTCCTTTTCTTTATTTTTATTAATTTATATATATATATATATATATTTATAATTTTTTTCCAGGGGTTCTGTTTCCAGAGGCTACCCTTCCTCTAAGAGTTGTACAACCTAACTTTATAGCTGCTGTTGAAAGAGCTTTGTGCCAAGTTGATTCTCCTTATACCATTGGTGTGGTATGTGAACTCATTGACAGCTCATAGTTATTTCCTCCGTGCCCAGGATTTGTTTGACTAGCCTTTTATCTCAAAGTAGCATTACTTGTAAAATTTTGTTCAGGTTCGGATTTATAGGGATCCTGATAATGGGAGGATGAGATTTGCAACCGTTGGGACAACTGCAGAGGTATGAGTCAAGAATCTGCCACTCAGGTCTTTTACTGCTTATTTTATTTTTATGTTATAAAGTTTTATGGCTTTTATGTGGGCATATTTAGTTTAGAACAAAATTTTAGCACCTCTAAAGTATTGACAACATCAAATTCAGTCTTGTTAGATGCTTATCAAATGTTAGACTCAATCCAAGATGCAAGGTGTATTTATTCATATGTATTTCTTTTAATATGTAATTAACAGTAAAATGGACAATGATTATTAAGTGTCAAAGTAGAATCCCTGTGCTAAATTATGTTATTTCACAAAGGAGTTATATACCTTCAGTTGCAAAAACTTGCTCCTTTTGTAAAATATTGTGTTGGTTTACAATTTAATGTTTGTTATTGCGGTTTGCCATGTAGAGTGCATGATTTTATGCTGCCATTTTTTAAGCATGTCAAGACTTAGGAGCATTCTCTTATAAAATTACAGTTGCTTTTATGTGAGAGAACTCCTTTTTAACTGGCTTGTGAAAATGTTATGTGGGTAGCCCCAAAAGGGAGTGCGCATATACTCTTAGTTGATTTTTTCACTTTTGGAGGATCTAAGAGAGCCAAAGTGCTATGGTCTTGTGCCGTCTTCGCAACTTTTTGGGTTCTATGGATGGAAAGAAATGCGAGGTTGTTTGAAGATAAATTCCGGGATGTGGGCTGTTTGTGGGATAATGTTTGTCACTTAACTTCATTTTGGGTGTCGGGGAGCTCTTTATTTAAGGGAGTCCCACTTGTTTTGTTAGCTAGGGATTGGTTGGCGGTGTGTGATATGTAGGCTTTTGCTAGGGTTTAGCTTGTTACGGGTTTCATTTTTTCGTATTTTTTTTGTATTACCATTGTCCTTTTGTAAGAGGATGCCTCATCCTTGCTTGCTTTTTTTGAATTATCAATAAAGTTTTTGTTGTTGATTATCAAAAAAATGAAGGCTCTAAATGGTCATTGCTTTATCTTCTTGGGTACTTTACTTGGGATTTTGTCTGATATGTGACTCAAGTTGTGATTTCTATGGGGTAGGCGTCATGCCCCAAAAAGATGTTGGGTAGGCTTCTTGACTCAAGGCTGCGTGTTGTAACAACAATGCTCAATCCAGTCTCATATAGTATACCCATAAATTGATGTCTTACCTCACTATTAGAGTAATTTTTTTCATTTACGTCCTGTATGAGATCAATTTGGAAGTTGGTGAACACATCCCAAATTGGGTTCGTTTGAAGCTGAATGATAATTCCTTCCCTGAAATGATGAGGAAAGTGTCTACCGCTGTCCAAATGTACCATATGTTGCTAAAATGATATTGAAGATCTTTGAACAGACATTGTATAGATAAATTTCTGTTGTAATGGATATAATTATAGATGCAAATGCTTCATTCATATATATCAAAAGTGTTATTGCCTCTAGCATAAAAAAAGAGATCTACCAATATCACCCTTGTACTGCTCTATGTATCTTAGATTTTATTGTTTCTGATTTCTTTGATTCTGTGTAAATTCTGCTATATACAGGGAAGGCATCCCCCCTTGAACTATGTGAATGTTCTTTTATATATGACGTATCAATTTACTATTGGACTGTCCTTTTTTGGTCTCCTCAGTTCTGACGGCTTAACTGTCTAGTTACATTTTCAATTTTAGATTCGGCAATACAGACGGTTAGAGGATGGTTCACTGAATGTGGTTACCCGTGGCCAACAACGTTTTCGTCTGAAACGCCGGTGGATTGATGTGGAAGGGGCAGTAAGTTTAATTAAATGCTGAATTTATATGTTTATGTAATTGTTTCTTTTTTTATACTAGCATGGTAAAATGCTGATTTTGTGTATGATTTTCTTCCTTTTAGCCGTATGGAGAGGTCCAAATCATCCAGGAAGATTTGCCCTTGAGGACTCCACGAGATGCCGTAGGACAACTGGCACCTTTGAGGAATTTACGAGAACCACCTCTGAAAACTTCAAATGCTAACCGCTGTGGACGTGGAGATGAAGAGGATGATTCAGATGGAATATCAGAGGAAAGTTTTGAATGTGAGCTTTCACTGACAGAGAGGAGATTGCATCAATCTGCAGTTGTTTCCTGTTATGGTTATGATATGGTTGACATGGCAACTAGTAGTGATGATGAGAAATATGCATGTGAGTCAGAATTCCAGTTGGAAAAATCTCAATTAAATGAGGAGCATGCAGAAGGTGGCAAACGAAGTGAAAATAATAGCCTGGCAATGGGGAAAAAGTTGATTTCAGGAAGACAATCTCATAAAGGATATGGGTGGAAAAAGGATTCTGTAAGCAGGTTGCGTGAAGGGCCAAGAGCTTTCTGGCCTTGTTGGGTTTACCGTTTGTATGACTCATATTGTCTTGCTCAGCAAGCAGCAGGTATTTTTGTTTTTTTCTTCTTTTCTGTGTGTATTAATAATCTTTTGCCAGTGCATAAATCTTTCTGGGCTATTGTTGAGGTGATTACTGGGTTTGGATGTGATTTTGCCTTAATTAGAACTGATTATGTTTTCTACTTAGTTACATGCATTGAGTCAAATACTGCTGCTAGCTACAGGTATATTGCCCACCTTCATTGTAGAAAAATTAGTTGTTAAAGAAGATGCAAAAATGTTATAAAGAAGTTTATATCTTTGATATCCGGTTCTCCTAGATACAAGAATTATTTTGCGTGTCTGTAAAGACTAAAGACCACAAAGCGAGCTGTGAAATTATGCAATTCATAATCATTGTACAGTGTGTTAAAACCTATCACCTACTTCACCCACTAAACCTAACCCACTACACCACTACCACCTCACCTACTCCACTAAACCCACTACACCACTACCACCTCCACTTCACCTACTCCACCTACCACCTCCCACCTCCACTTTACCTACTCCATCTACCACCTACTACCACCTACTCTTCTATATATAGGAATCATTGTAACATTCAATAAATCAACAATTATCAATATAAATCAATCAATAATACAATTCTCTATTTCTCTTTATACATTAAATTTCTACACAGTGCCATCAGTTTGTGGTCTTATCTGGTGTTTATCTGGAAATGATAATGTTTCTGTGTATTTGTCCTTTTCTTTTCAATTGATTATGAACTATACAATGGCCGAGTTCTGTGCTGTGTTATTTTGTTTAATTTACTCGGTGAACGTAGATATTAATGGAAGCATCATTGTATGCAATAGTGTTTTTTTTTTTTTTTTTTTTTTTTTTTCTTTTTCTTGATCTTCTTTATATTTTTTAATGCACATTTTGTTAGTTTTGAGAAGAGAAAAGTTAGAGGTATGAGTACTATCTCATCCCCTTTTATATTAGATCATTAGCCAAAATAAAGGAGGTCTCTAAGGCAGAAATAAAGATACCAAATATACATAAAGATGAAATAGGAAATATTCCTAATATACCCTACCATTCCTAATACATTCTCACACTCTCCCTCAAGCGGGTGCGAAGATATCTCTCAGTCTCGCTTGTTGAAAATGTCACAGAATGGTGTAGTCCCTAATCCTTTGGTAAGAACATCAGCCAGTTGATTCCCAGACCGCCCAAATGGCGTACATATAGTGCCACTAGGAAGTTTTTTCTTGATAAAATGCATGCTGATCAACCTCCACATGCTTGGTCCTATCATGTTGAACCGGATTGTGGGCTATATTGATGGCGGCCTTATTGTCACAGTATAGTCTCATAGAATCTGTCTGATGAGTCCCCAAGTCCCGCAAGAACAATCGAATCCATAAAAGCTCACAAACACCTTGAGCCATAGCTCTGAATTTGGCCTCTGTTCTAGACCTCGCAACAACATTTTGTTTCTTGCTTCTCCAAGTAACTAGATTTTCTCTGACAAAGGTACAATAGCCAAAGGTGGATCTTCTATCAGTGACTGATCCAGTCCAATCAGCATCTGTATATGCCTCCACACTAAGATGACCATGCTTTGAGAAATAGAGACCCTTTCTCGGAGAACATTTCAAGTTCCTCAGAATCTGCATAACTGCCTCTAAGTGAGTTGCTCGTGGAGCATGCATAAACTGACTAACCATACTTACTGCAATAGCAATATCAATATCAATATCAGGACGCGAATGGAATAAGTAGATCAACTTACCCACTAGTCTCTAGTATCTCCTCCTGTCTACAGGCTCGCCGTTTGGATCCTCACCAAGTTTTAATCCAGGATCTAGTAGTGTATCACAGACTTTACTTCTAAGCATTCCCGTTTCTTTTAGCAAATCAAGTACATACTTCCGTTGACATAATGAAGATGCCATCTTTGGACCAAGCGACCTGAATCCCTAGAAAGTACTTCAAGCTGCCCAAGTCTTTGATTTCAAACTCATTAGCCAAATACTCCTTTAACCGAGGAATTTCCTCAACATCGTCCCCTGTGAGTACAATATCATCCACATAGACAATAAGAATTGTTGTCTTACCATGTGAGGAGTGTTTCACAAACAAATTATGATCAGCTTGACTCTGTTTGAAACCATATCTCAGCATGGCTTGAGTAAACCTCTTAAACCAAGCCTTAGGAGATTGCTTAAGACCATAAAGTGACTTGCGTAATCGGCACACCTTGCCTTTGGTTTTGACATCCTCAAAGCCTGGAGGAATGTCCATGTACACTTTTTCTTCCAGATCTCCATAGAGGAAAGCATTTTTCACATCAAATTGATGGAGAGGCCAGTCGAGATTAGAGGCAAGGGAGAGAAGGACTTTAACAGAGTTCATCTTAGCAACAGGTGCAAATGTCCCCTGGTAGTCTACTCTATAAGTCTGAGTAAAGTCCTTGGCCACCAATCTTGCCTTGTAACGTTCAATTGAACCATTGGCTTTGTGTTTCACAGTGTACACCCACTTACATCCAACAGGTTGTTTGCCCTTAGGTAACTCAGCCAATTCCAAGTGCCATTTTTTGCAAGAGCTCCCATCTCCTCCATCATGGCATGCTTCCTCTCAGGAGTAGAAAGAGTATCTTGAAAATGAGAAGGAAGACTCACAGAAGAAACTTTAGACAGGAAAAGCTTTATAGGAAGGAGACAGATTAGTATAGGAGACAAAATGAGAAATAGGATGTTGAGTGCAAGACCTAACCCTCTTTCTATGAGCAATGGGAACATCTAGATCAGAAAGAATAGAGTTACTTGGAGGTTCATCAGCAGAAGAGGATTCTGGGCACTCATCAAAAGGAGAAGATAGCAGTGGAGAATCCGCATTGGTCTCTTGTACCCAAGTAATTTGTTTTCTATTCTTGTCCTTGACATACACTTTGCCATCTTTTACTGTGGATTCAGATTCAGACTCAATAGTTGAGTCACCTTTAATATCCTGGTCAATCACTGATGGTAGTGATACAGGAAACGCTTCACACCAAGGTTCCCCCTGAAAGGATGACTGGGACACCAGTGAGGACAGGAAGTAGGACTGAGACTCAAAGAACGACACATCCATAGAGACAAACCATTTTTGAGAGGGTGGATGATAACATTTGTAGCCCTTTTGGGTGGCAGAGTAACCCAGGAAGACACACCGAAGAGACCTAGGATCCAACTTACCATGGGTAGGAGAATGGTTATGAACAAAGCATACACACCCAAAAGTTTTGGGAGGAATGGAGAAACCAGAAGAGGAGGACCCTAACAAAACCTGAAAAGGAGTGTGTTTGTGGAGAACTTGGGTAGGTAAACGATTGATGAGAAAGGCTGCAGTGAGAACAACTTCCCTCTAATAGGATCGAGAAACACGTATTTCAAAGGACAGACAACGTGCAATATCAAGAAAATGGCAGTTTTTACGCTCGGCAACACCATTCTGTTGAAGGGTATTGGTACAAGAAGTTTGGTGAATAATACCATAACTGGCAATATAACTGGCACGGCTAGAGTCAATGTATTCCCCTCCATTATTAAAACGCAGAATTTTGATAACCGTCCCAAATTGAGTGCAAATCATTTTATGAAAATTTTGAAACACAGAAAAAACCTTGCCCTTCATAAGATATAACCAGGTGGTCCTATAACAAATCATCAATAAAGGTAACAAACCATCTTTGACCCTTTAAAGACATAAAACGAGAGGGACCCTATAAATCGGAATGAATCAATAAAGGGACTAAACTTTTATTAATAGAAGGAGCAAAAGAAGCTCTGTGTTGTTTTCCAAGTTGACATGACTCACAGTGAAACTCAGAAACATTGTTTTTCAAAACAACTGAAGGAAAAAGATGTTTAAGTAACAAAAAAGATAGATGCCTTAGACGAAGGTGCCACAACCATAGGTCTTCCTTGGTAGATGGTAATTGAATGGTGGAATAAGCCAGCTTGTCTGCTTGATCTAGGATATAGAGACCATTCGCGTTTCTACCACTGCCAATCATCTTCCTTGTGATAAGGTCCTGAAATAGACAATGATCGGGAAAAAAGGTCATACTACAATTTTAGTTCCGAGTAATACGACTCAAAGATAAAAGATTAACACTAAAATTGAGAACATGCAGGATGGAAGATAAAGGAAGAGAAGCAGTGGCATGAATTAAACTTTTCCCAGACACAGAAGAAATACTACCATCAGCAATATGAACTTTATCCTGTCTTGAAGAAGGGGTATATGCAGATAACAAATTAGAAGACCCAGATATGTGGTCAGAAGCATCAGAATCAATAATCCAAGGCAATGCTTGATGAGAGAGGAAAACACTTGTAGAAGACGCTAAGGCCTTGTTTGTCATAACCTAAACAAGCCAAAAAGTAAAAAAGTCACTATTCTATTTAAGTCATAGCATCTTATTGAAATCACATCACCTCTTTAGCACATAACTTCAAACCCAACCCATATTTCATAAAAAGTCAAAAAGTGCACTTTTTTAGAACATCCCAAACAACCCCTAAGTTACCTGAATGGGTAATGTTATCTGAAGAGGAACTAGATGCCTGACAATCTAGCAAGTAGCAAAGAGCAACCTCTAACTCAGAAGTAGAAAACCCAAAGATATCAGTAGATGGATCAACTGGAGCGGTGGACTGTGGCTCAACAGTATCAGAATGATGGGCTCGGGCATTGGGCCATCGGCCTCGAGACTGATCGGAGCTACCCTCTCGAGAACTAGAACGGTCGCCACGACCCCAAAATGGCTGCTCATGCAACTTCCAACAAGTCTCACGAGTGTGGCAGGGGCGACGACAAAAATCACAGAAGAGGGTATCCTTCTCAGAAGGAGGACGGGAACCACGATCCCCATCTCGAGTGGGGGGCAGAAATTAGGGCAGATCGATCAGAAGAGGCAGTTGGAAGCATAGCAGAATGCCGACTCTCTTCATTTTGCACATAAGCAAACGCTTCTTGGAGAGAAGGAAGCGCATCCATACCAAGCACACGACTCCGAACAGGATCAAACTCTCCATTCAAACCTTCCAAGAACTTGAAGACCCGCACTTGTTCAACAAATTTTCGGTATCCAGCAGAATCTGTGGGACAGACAGGCTTGTAGTCCTGAAGATGATCGAGTCTCTTCCACCCATTGCTAAGGAAAGTAAAATATTGGAGAATAGTCATCTCACCCTGAACTGATCAGTTAATGGAGCGTCGCAACTCAAAAGTCTGTGAGAAATTGTCTTTGCGGGAATACGTAGCAGCCACAGCCTCCCAAATATCCTGTGCTATGTCTATAGACAAGTATCTCTCACCAATCTCCGGAACCATGGAGTGTATCAACCAGCCTATGATAAGAGAATTAGTAATCTCTCATTGATCATACCCTACATGTTAATACTGGGAGTACATGTTAATACTGGGAGTCTGAACTCGCTCATCAACATATCTCATCTTCCCTTTGCTCTTCAAAAATATAGTCAAACTCTGCGACCACGCTAGATAGTTCTGACCATTAAAGAGAGAGGTGGTGATTTTCTGGCTAGGGTGGAGAGAATCGGTCATAGGAGTAGTCAAAACAGGACTCGCGCCCTGTGTAGCAAGTAGCGAAGTGGTTGACTCACTAGTCAATTCGACCATGAAGACTTTGCGACAGAACCTCACAAACAAACACTGGGTGAATCACAAACTCGGAAGATGGGAAAATATACCAAGGAATTTAAACGAATGAAAAGTGAACAATTTTTTTTTTTGTTTTTGTTTTTGTTGTTGTTTTCGAAGACAGACAGATAATCAAAGACAGACAGAGAGATTAAGAAGAAGAAGAGAGATTAAGAAGAAAGATTTACATCACGATGTATGACGAAGACAGAGAGAGATGTACGAGGACTAAGAGATGAAGACGAACGAGGTAGGTCAGTGCATACCTTGGGTCGCCAAGCCAGCCGACAGACCTGGGCTGGAGAAGGAAGGCTCCGATGAACCGACTGTGCCTGACAGAGCCCTAGGTGGCTTTGACTGGGACTGTCGGAGCTCTAGGAAAGATCGCTAGTGTTGGCGAAGCCCAAAGGGGGGCTGTGGCTGGGGTGGCGGTGCTGTGGTGGAAGTGCTGTGTTTGGCTAGGGTTTTTTTTCCTTTATTTTTAGAGAGGCTCTGATACCATGTTAGTTTTGAGAAAAGAAAAGTTAGAGTATGAGTCCTATCTCATCCCCTTTTATATTAGATCATTAGCCAAAATACAAGAGCTCTCTAAGGCAAAAATAAAGATACCAAATATATATAAAGACGAAATAGGAAATATTCCTAATATATCCAACCATTCCTAATACATTCTAACACATTTTGTAAATCTTGATTTACTTCTAATTTCTTATATCTCATATATAGAATTCCAAATTACAAGATGCTCCAATAATTCACCTTTGGCCATTCTATAGACCTCTGAAACATTAGTGTTAAAACATAGTTTCAAGACATTGATCCCTGGTGACTTCAATAATGGAGACGAGCCCTTGAAACTCCCTAAGAAGCACAGACACAGACACGGACATACCGACATGCCAATTTTAAAAAAATACAGGACACGACACGTAGGGAACACATGAAATATATAATTTTATATATGTATTATATGTTATATATATATATGAATATATCATTCAAAGATAATAAAAAATGCAATATGAATATATCATTCAAAGATAATAAAAAATACAATATGATACTAATTTCTATAAATTTATATGATTTAATTTTATTATTGTATCTTAAGTTGTTTTGTTCAAACTTATAATTGGTTTCACCTATGTCTAATTGATAGACACGTGTGTTTAAGTGATAGAAATGTGTGTCCTTCAAGTGTTCGGGTCTGTAAAAAAAATTAAAAAATAGGACATGTTTTGAAGAGTGTCGAACAGGTGTCGAGGAAGTGTCCAAAGAGTGTCGGTGTCCAACATAGACACTACACGGATACGTCACTTTCTTAAAAGTGTCCGTGCTTGTTAAACTCCTATATATTTGTATAATTCCTGGTTATTAGTGAAGCTCTTTTCATAACCTTTCATATAATTTCTTAGTTAGGTCAAGGGGAAACTGGGATGACTATATAGAAAGTCAGAATTTGTATATTGGAGAACATTATTTCTTCTTCTTTGCAGTTTGTTCATTAATTTAGTGTGGATGTTGATGGTATTTTATTTTGTTTTATTTTTTCTGTCAGATATCAGTAATGTTTCTCTATCTAAATATTGCAGATAAGTGGAAGCAGATTGTTGGGTCGCCAAGCATGGATGGATTTGTGAAGAAACCGGATCTTCTCTCATTTTATATTGCCAGTAAAATTCCTGTGTCTGAATCCATGAGGCAGGAGCTTCTGGAAATTGATGGAATTTCTTATAGACTGCGCCGGGAAATTGAGTTACTTGAGAGTTTTGATCGTGTTCGGTGTAAAAATTGTCAGGTAATACAAGGTTTTGTAACATAAAAGCTTGCTTTCTTTATGTATGTTTTCCCCAGCTGTTTATTTCTTTAATTTTTTTTCTTTTTCTTTTTTCCCCTCATGTAGACTGTGATTGGGAAGCGGAGTGATATGTTGGTGATGTCTAGTGAAGGTCCTCTGGGTGCTTATGTGAATCCACAAGGCTATGTCCATGAAATAATTACGCTGTATGAAGCAAATAGCTTGTTGCTCCGTGGAGGTCCAACTAAAGAATACAGCTGGTTCCCTGGGTATGGATCTAACTAACCTCTATTTTTTCCCTGAACCTACTCTTGAGAATAACTTATGCTACTTTTTACCATATTTATTTAAGGTTGAAAAAGGTATGCCAAAAACCTGGGCAGGTTTTATTTATTTTGCCTTCTCTTAAAAATTTTAGTTTTATTTATTTATTTATTTTATTTATTTATATATGTAAAAGTAATTATTCTTAAAAAATAATTGGGATCATTTCCGGTAGCCTACTTCTAGTTTCTGGATGCTTTCATTAAAGGCTTTTAGTTGGGCATTTATATTTGGAGAATGAAACTGCACTATGGGGTAATTCAGAGGACAATTAGAATTTGTATCAGTGAGTTGTATTTTACATTGATTTCAATTAACTCCCCTGTTGCTTTACAGAACATTTAAAGGTGTGCATTACCTGTTAGTGCATGCAAGAAATAAGGGCACGGCTGGATTTGTTAAGTTACCTCAGTTTCTATTTCAAATGTGATCTCAAATAATGGGGGACTGATTCGGCGCTTGTGAGACCTTTTAGACCGCCTTTGGTTAGGCTAGATCAATCTTGAACTGTTCATATAATGCTGATCTGAATGTGTGTTGTTTGTGTTATTTTTTAGTTTGAGGTTGTGTAGATGCTCCATGCCTCCTGAGCACATATTATTTGGAAACTTTAAATCATCATTCTTTAACTATCAAGTACTGATGTAGGACGAGTAGGGATTATTTTCCTACAAGTAGTGAGCCCGAGTTAAGTATACTGGCAGGAGTAACGATAAACTTATAGGGCTAGATTTGGTGGGAGCTTGTAGCTGCAAAAGTGTTTAAAAAATAAGAGTTGAAGGGTTTGTAAAAGGGTAGTGTTTTATGAATGAAAACACAAGTTTCTAGGGACTGTTGGGTGGCTGTTCTAAGCACTGTGAACAGTGAAGTGAACAGCAACTTTGCTAAATAGAAGAAGAAGAAGAAGAAGAAGAGGTGCTTCACCCTCACCAGGGATAGGCTAATCACACAAACACAATCTCAAATTTTCATAATATTAACTGTTCTCCCTTGAATCATTGAGATTACATACATATTTGTAGGCTAAAGACTCTCCTAATTTTATAAGGACTATTACTCAAAATTATAAATTAAAAACATTTAGCAACTACTAATATTATATACCAACTATGATTTCCAATTCTACTTCAATCATAATAGGAAACTTTAATGACTTCTAATTTTACTTCAATATCAAAATAGGAAATTTGGACTTTTGACCACTAAGATTATTCTAAATATAATAAAACACATATATAATGACTCATTTAATAATTTGACCTAAAATAAAACCTATAGGTAACCTTACAACCCATGTCTATCAAAACTGAAGTTACCATAATACCCTTAACTACTAAACACTACCATGGACACTTCTCTTTGGACCAAAAAGGCTTCTTGATGAACATAGGACCCTTAGACTCTGTGTTGGGCTTCCACAGCCTATCTAAGATTGCCATCACATGGAGAAATTCATTGAATCAGGAAAGAACTCTTCTTCAACTTCAATGTTTGCTCATTTGTAGCACAAGTAAGAGTATACTTCTTTTTCCATCAATAAAGGAGTAGGTGTTGGCACGTTCGGCATGATGCGCATCACAATTCCATATCCATGTTCTACCCAAAAGTATGTGACAAAGCTTGAGTGGCAAAACATCACATGATTGTCTCCTTAAGGTTCCCAATGGTGAATGTGACTGGACATTGCTTGTCAACCTTTAACTTTGTGTTACTAATCCAACCCACATGATATGGCTTTGGATGTGGCTCAATCATTAACCCTAACTTCTTAACAGTGTCTTCGGATACCACATTAGTACAACTCCATGTATCAATCACCAATGAACAGATTTACCCTTCGCAATTGACTCTTATTTGAATATTTTTCTCTCTATGATAAGATCTTCATCACTCTTGGAAACTTGTTTAGTAGTTACCATAAGAGGACGGATAATGCTCATCAAGTCATCTAAATCATCAAAACTTGTCTCGTAATTAGCATCAAGTGGATCACAAACCTCTTCTTCAAGTGGTGATTTATTAGACTCCTTTGCCTCTTTTGGAATTTCCCTTTCAACCATAGCAACTGACTTTGTGGGACATTGGAAAGATAGATGACCATAACCATGACAAGTGAAACATCTTTTTTAAGAATTAGAATTACTACTTGCCTGAGACGAAGATGAAGCACTAGGACGTGGTGGCTTGTTGGAAACATAAGAACTTCCTTGCGGCTTGTCAATAGACTTGCTTCGACTTGCATCAACGAAAGTCCTTTCACTCCGAGTAAAATTTTTTGTTGAAGCTCTCATGGAGGTCTTCTTTTTTAATTCTTCTTCCATCTGGTAAGCTACTTGAACCGCGTCTGTCATGGCATAAAGTCGACTAGCAGCTAGCCCACAAGAGATTTGTGAGTTTAACCCTTGTCGATACATCGAAATTGTCACATCTTCATTCCAAGGAAATTCCGATCTTGTAGCCAAATTATAGAATTTTCCAGTGTATTCCTCAATAGACATACTTCCTTGCACCAATTGTGTGAATTGTAAGTGGACACGTTGTTTGTAGTTTACTGGTACGAAGTATCGAGTCATTGAAATCTTTATATCTTCCCATGATCTAATGGTAGCATAATGCATTTGTTGGTATTTTGCCCACCAAACTCTTGCTATCCCCTTCAATTTAGCCTCCGCAAAGAAGAGTTTTCTTTCATCTGTCAAATGATACCACCTAAAGAAACTCTCCAGGCTATGCAACCAATCAAGAAATAATTCCGGGCTGTCTCCATGAAAATCTCCAACTTCAAGCTTAGCACTTCTATCAACATCCACTAATCTAGGATTTTCTTGCAAGCGGGCTGGTGCTGGTTGTGGAGGAATTTGTTCAAAACTTCGTTGATGATTAGGGGATGAAGAAACATGGATGTTTGAGGCACCAAATTGTTGACCCGTGCTTTCTCCAATAGGCTTTTTGCCCAAGACAACAGTTGACAACCTCTCCATTAATACTTTCATCTCCTCCAAAGTTGTAGTGATGGTATGACACTTTGTAACATTGCAACGTCACTCTCCAACATTGCAACATCTTCCTTGGTAGCCTCATAATCTTTTGAGAAGGCTTTGAACTTAGAATTCAATTTAGCGTTTGTTACCATCGTACTCAATAAAACAACTTTGTCAAAAAACAACCAAAATCGGTGGAGACTAAAAGTAGAATCTTGAAGCTCTGATACCAAACTGAGAGTAGGGATTACATTCCTACAAGTAATGAGCCCGGTCTAAATATATTGGCAGCAGCAACAATAGATTTATAGGGCTGGATTTGGGTGGGATTTTGTGGCTGCAAAAGTATTTAAAAAAATAGGAGTTTAAGGATTTGTAAAAAGATAGGGTTTCGGGATGAAAACACAAGTATTTAGGGACAGTTGGGTGGTTGTTCTAAGTACTGTGAACAGTGACGTGAACAGTAACCTTGCTGGATAGGAGAAGAAGAAGAAGAGAGAAAGAAAGAGAAGTGCGTCACCCACACAAAGGATAAGCCAATCACAAAAACACAATCTCAAAATTTCATAATATTAACTCTGCTATTGAATCATTGAGA